GGCTCGCATATCCGATCAGCGGCACGCCCAGTAGACGGGCAAGGCGCTTACTCAGAGGGCAGTTGTCACTAACCAAAAAGTACCTGCTTAATGATCTTACCAAAGACGCGTAATATGAGAACCATGGTTTCCCGGTGTGCTTCAGCATTATGCTGCATCACGGCGTCATTAGCACCGTCCCCTGGTGGCTCTAGGACGGGTGCCATGGCAAGTAGCTGTCGACAGGGTACTCCGTCAACATCGTAGCGCGCAAAGACGGCTATAAAATGCTCCGAATCGTGCGTCCACGTCGAATATGATGCCAAGGAACATTATAATCTCCATAGCTATGTTTTCTTCAGCGGCAATGGTTACTTTGAGCATGTCACTCGCTAGCATTTCAGAGCAAATGTCCGGGGAACGGGGTTACACGCATGTCGCTACATGTAGCCGCCTGGCTATGAAGAATGCATTCCACGTTGGTATGCGATACACCAATGGCTACATTTGGTAGACAATTGGTCTGCATGCACTTAGAGCATTCATCTGTTAAAAGTCAATGTATTCAGCTACTAGGATTATAGGATTCTGCCAACCATTCGTTGACAGATATCTATCATTTCTTAATTTTACCAGAAATCGGCTTTGCTTTCCTTTTTAAGTAAATTTATTTTTGTGGACGAAAGTATAGTTAATCTAATCTTAAGTGAAACGCGTATTACGCTTCCTCATACACGTGCGCAAATATGTAAGCCGAAGTAGTGGGTTTAAAGTAGGCCCATTACACCACGCAGCCAGTCCCTGTCGTCTTTGGAAGTCTCATCAACGCAGACAGGGACCACGGTGAAACGGTTTTAACTTGCTGTAGAGCTTCTTTATCTTTGTTGGTAGGCACTCACAAGATCGTTTGGCTACCACTTTCCTGCTCATACCCGAATTAAAGCGTAGTAGACGACAAATTGCTTGTAGAAGTATTCATCAGTAGGCCGCTAAACTAGTTAGTTTGCACTAAGTCATATATCACATCTTAACCGAAAATTAGGCTGGACTTGGCATTTCATAGTATAATACATGGGAGAGCATGGAACATTCAATTTGGGGGTCACTATGGCTTTTCTCGTGATTCTTGATATTTTCAGCCAAACACAATGTCAGGTCAAAGCCAATAATCCCCGCTATCTCGTGCATCTCGGACACTACCTAGACAGCGATTAAAGCGCTTGACTTAGCTGTGTGAGGGCATCTTCACTTGCATCACCTTACCCACCTAAATCAGACAAAGCGGATGAAAGGTGCCGTCTTGCATTCAACCTGTACAGGACTCCCGAATTATGGATAATGACTTACATTAATGTACATTAATTAGGCCTCATTACGCATGGGAGCTACTGTGATTTTGGACATGCATAATATTTGGCAAAACGTCTTACAAAAGCATTATTAATGCGTAAAAATAAAGGTTGTAATTACCAAATCGGCACACGAGTGGCTACAAGTCTCTCCTTCTTCCTTCGACCACCGTTTTGCCCGTTAATCCTTCAATACGAAGTCCCAGTTTTGAATTTACCAGCCATGGCAGACGTCGGCCCTACCGTTCCGCCCCCAGCACCTCACTTTTCGCTCAAGCAGATTTTTTTCTACTTTTCGCCGTGTGTTGACAACAATGGGGAGGCAACTGACTACTACAGCTGCAAAGTGTGTGCTACAATCCACAAACAACCAATTGGAAGAGACACTCCAAACTTGAATCAGCACATACGACTTAAGCGCCCCAACTTTGAGGCAAAAATGCCGGCAGCTGGGTCCAGAAGGACGGAGCCGCTCTTGCCATGGATCAGCAAGAAAGCTTAACACCGATTTGAATGGCTTGAGTGGGCCATCTTCGGCAACCTGCCATTCTCTTTCTGCGAGCAAAAGAGGATAAGACGGTAAATTAATAAATGCACCTAAAAATATCGTAATTTGGTGCTAAATTTGGTATTTTCTATGTAGATACACGAACCTCGTGTTCTCGGCGAAACTCGACTGCCATTGTGTCGCAGCCAATCAATCGATGAGAGCGGATATCAGTCTTAGATGCATTTGATGCTGAGGATTATCCATTGGGATACAGCTAGAGGGGCATTTGATCGCACTTGCTCCACGAAGTGTTTAGCTAAGCAAATAGCTCCTTTTATGAACCCGTGGCCTCTACCAAGGTAAGACTCTTGTTTGTTTTGTTTCTTTATTTAAAAAATGTTGTTCAGATTTATTGGTATTTTTATTTATTAAGACCTGTCGTGGTCTTAGACAATGCAAAGATACACATGTGCAAGGAGCTGGAACATATAGGATGATCCCTTTTGTTCTTCTTGCAGTCAAACTCACCGCAGCTAAATCCTATTGACTTTGGGTTTCTCTTTTAACTGAAATAGGCGACACGCGCCGCTGGCATTTTGCTTTGACGTCAGAAGGACAGTTGCTATGAGTGTGATACAATCAAAACCACGAACGCGTAAGGGGTAAATTTGTATCATCACTATGGATATGAGCTTGACCAGCTCAACTACTATACGTTTCTAAGCTAACAATAATCGGCGTAACGTAAACTAAAAATAAAAAAAGAATTTATTGATCGTTTTTTTCAATGTCCTCGATATATCTACTAGGTGCAGAAAACGCTAGCGGTTTGCTATGGTGGACGCAGTGCGTACGGCGGAAGCTCTATTTCGCTTCGAAGATCACCAAGGTGCAGCTCCGAAGGGATAAACCCTCCATTCAAATGGCTCCGAGCAGTACCATACATGAGCGCACTCTCAGCTGATCTATTGGGCACATCGACCTGTCGCTGCTGGTCGTTATTATGTCGCAACTGCGTGAAAGCTGCACTTGACGGGACAGCGAGCGACGCTCCATCAAAGTGGCGAGTCTGGCTAGTCGCCTAATAAGCTTGAGATGCAGGTCACAATCAATTTCGTATCCGTTCGCCGCCAAATGGGCTTGAATTTAGCTGCTGCTAATCGGTACCTACATAGAAACTCGCGCATTAAAGTTTAATTACGATGAATTGTCTGATGGCCACGTTTAGGTCTCATGAAACAATTCTAACCCGACTTTCATGTAGCAACGTGATTAAACACATGTCGGAACCTAACTTTCCCCAAAGGTCGTGTTCCAAAAACAGTTTTGATGCGCATTATACCGATTTGTAATTTATATTAAAGTGCTGTTAAACTGATTAAACCTTTTTATATGTGTTTTGGAAGACATTCAATGCCACACGCACCTGTGTTGCATGTCGTAGCGAAGAATTTGTCCAACCCGAGCCAAAGTCTACAAAACTGTTGGAGAAGCTAATCTTCCTCTACGGCCAATTTTTCCTGTTGCGCTTGTGTAGCGCTAGTCGTCGGCTTCAACATGACGGGTGCATCGGCGCTCCAATCCACTGTTACCGAAGATCCCAGTCGACGCATGCACTGCGCGAGCTAGGCAGGGGGGTCTTCAGGTAAGGAAGTTTTCGCGTTGCCTTGAAGACCTTCGTTAAGAAGCCGGTTCAACAGCTCAGGCTGGCCATCCGTTTTGGGATCGTCTGCTGTGAGCCTTCACAGTTTCGTACCCAGAAGATCGACGAGAAGCGCGAACAACGATCGAACGCAGTAGATTCGAGGCTACATGTAGCCACTTGGCTATGAAGAATGTATTCCACGCTGGTATGCGATACACCAATGGTTACATTTGGTAGACTATTGGTCTGCATGCATTTAGGGTATTCATTCGTTGAAGTAGCGCTTCCATTGACGAAACGAAAACAAAGGTTTCGCATAACTACTTATGCTTTGTATGTATACCCTAACCCTATTGACGCCGCTGTACGAAATGCAAATCTCAGGAAACGGAAGCTGCTTCCGACTTACTTGATTTTTGTATTAATCTCTGTCTGAAGTAACTTCCGCGTCCAGAAACAACAAAATATGCAACTCTCGATTGCATGTCCAATCGGAGCACTTTGTTCTATTCGTTTTCGCGAGCACAGAAAATGTGAAAAAAATACTGAATGTGCAAAACGTTTGAAGGTGAACAAAAAATAGTTGTAGAAGGCCTCGAGTGCGTAAAGGAATTGACAAGACCAAAAGTACTATGTGGTTTTGACGAGACTGAGAGTACTAAGACAAGACGAAAAATACTACAGCAAGACCAAAAATACTGATGAAAGAATATATAACTTGCACTATAGGTGGGTATGTTTCGACTTAACAACCCGACGCTTCATGTCCAGGCGAATGCACCATGCTAGCGTATTGATTGTAAGAGCATTCAGGTTAAACTCGGCGGTGTCTTTCAGCCAGTGCTTCGTGTAGTATGCACTATACATTGACAGTATAGAATCGGTCGCGTTTTTGGCATCTGAAGCTCCCATTTGAGCAGCGAAATCAGCTTCGCAACACTCAGCCGGCTAGTCAAAACACCACTCCGCGATACTTGTTACCTTGATCGTCTGTGAGTACCATCCACTTGTCAGGTCCTGCTGCGTCTCGACGTTCGTAACCTCCGTAGTAGTTTGCTACAGCTGCGCGAATCTTCTCTGCGGTTTGGTTGGAAACCAAAGCGGATGCAGAGACACTTTCCATGAGGCGACTAGTAAAGAAGGTAGCTCGTGATGTCGCGTAAGTGCTGGGTTGGGATACTCATTGGCGATACAAAACTCGCAGAACTTCCTGAAATATGATACATACACATTCCTTGTGTCCTGCTTAATCACGTGTGTTGCTGTGTCGATACCGCCTTGTAACAGCTCTTGAAATGATGCGGGGTGTCTTGCCATAAATACGATAGACACTGGCTGGGTATATGCTTGTCGTCCAGCCAAAATACCAATGAGCTGCAGAACCAATCATTTAAAGATTCGTACTTTTAGTCTTGTTTAGTAATTAGTGTCTCGTTTAGTACTTAGAGTCTAGTTTTGTACTTAGAGTCTTGTTGTTAGGGGGTAAATCGGATTGGTTAAAATTAAAACATAAAAAATTATCGCGTAATCTTCTTCACTATCCTTCTTCACTATCCGAATCAAAACCAAACACCTCCCGAAAGCGACGCTCGTCCGTCAGATCCTTCTCCTTTTCCTTCTCCTTTTCCTTCATCTTGCTCTCATATATCTTGTCTTTCTCGATAAAACCCGCCATATATATCCCTTCAAACTCAGCTAAACTTGCACAATTCTTGCCTTCTTTGAAGCTGTCAATTTCATCTTGAATTGGAGCTCTGAGAGCTGCGTTTTGGGCCTGTATCTCCTCACAACTGGTAAGCCACCGCTTGACGCGCTCGTTATACGTCGTTCGTAAATAAGCAAGATATTTTTGAAGGCGGATCCTCTCTCCAAAAATAGTATGAGCGTCCGCATCGAGCATTTGTGCCTTGTACTGACCGAATACTTTGCATCTTTTCTTGAAGCAAACTCTCAGCAGGCTCTCCTTGAAACTCTGGTGGCATCCAATGGCGCTTGTCAGGATGCAGAAGAAGGTAGGCCTTTTCGAACCACGCCTTTGACATCAAGTCGATTTCGTCCATCTAATAATAAAAGGCAGTCAGTGTGATTGTTTAGCTGAAAGCTTACCGGAATATCTGTACCTGAGCAAAAATGTACTAAAACAGCGGTCCGTTTTGACTGAGCTTTTTAAGGGGGTGTTGTCTTAGCCCTTTCGGTTGTGGCTTGTCAGAGAGAGCGCTGTGCTCCACCTCTCTAAAGCTCCTGTCGGAGCGCTGGCATTATTAGATACAAATAGTAAGTACCACAATTGCGTATAAAATATAAGATACCCACGGTACCTTCGAGTTTCTGGAATAGTTGTGTAGCGCGGCGAGAGCGCTGCTCGGAGACGCGCTTGGCGCGGTGCTTAACCCACGACCTCTTGCGAATATCAACCCTGGATTCACGCGCTTTTATCCCCTTGCACTTCTTCGCGTGCGTTGAGAAGTTCGTGCGAGATATCGATCTCTCACACTTCACGCATTCTTTTGTCGTGGCGCTGCCGTACGGCACCTTTGTCATTTTGTTTTGGAGTATTTGCAGAAATTGCGTCCAGGCTGGCCATTGTTTTTTTAAATGTGATATTCGATGCTGATTGTCCAAAACTATTTTTGCATGGGTTGTTTTTGAGTTGCGTCAGTGAAAGAAGTCAGCATCTTCAACCAAGTAGAATAGTAGAACTCTGCCAGCCATTCATCGGCGAATACCTTTCATTAAGAATACCAAATTAGGAGAAACCCCAAACAAAAGGAATTGACAGCTCTCAATTCTACCAGAAATCGGCTTTGCTTTCTTTATCGACATAAATCTAAGGTGAACCGCATCTTACGCTTCCTCATACACGTGAGCTAACGGGTAAGCCAGAATAGTGGACACAGAGTAGGCTCATTACACCATGGTGATGGAAGACAGCATCAATGAAGTGTACCACGGTACCAGCTGCGGCGGTTGAATCGCGTGGGCCATCTTGTTCAATTGACCAGCAAAATTACCTTACGAGTAAGCGTGCCTTGCGAGGTGAGCTTTCAGCACAATATTGCTATATACATTCATCAGACCGCTGAGTTGCTGCATGCCAAATTAGGCGAACGGCATACCGTAGCATTCGAGATCAGGATTAAACCTGATCAATTTACCGAAGGTATGTTTTTGCTTAGCGATAGGCAGCATTCACTTCAAGAATAGGGATGTCCTTAATCACAGAAGGAATACGGCATGTCCACCGAGTTGGTTACAACGGTTTACTATTGAGTAAAAGTGAAATAGCCTATATGACAAGCTTGATACGAAAATGAGAAGCATTTTTGTATGCAAATGTATTGATTGTAGTCAGCAACAACACTTACAGCATCTCCACCAGTATTGCAAAATATGCAAATAGACAATTACTTACAATTTTCCAAAAACCGACCCCGTCGTCTATTAATAGTAGCCAAAAAATAGCCGTGAAGTAGCACGGCGAAAGTGAAAAGGCGCAACGGAAAAAATCCTATTGAATAGAGGCATTTTAGTCACTACATCGCTCCACTATTGTGCACGTAGTGCAAACTCCATACCGTCAAAATTCCAACTGTCCGACCGATACTGGTATTAACGTCAAGTATAAAATCCGACTTAGTCACGACCCGCGGGCTGTGATACGGTAATATGCATACTGTGTTTACTGTTAAAAAAATCCCTGCTATCTAAGGCCACGCAGCCAATCTCGACATACGACCAGCACCACGAGGACGTTGAATGTGACGCGTCGATCGGCGGCTCTCCTGTGATTACAAGGCCTCCGCTGGATCCCCCACGCGCGTCGTACGGCAGACCAAGACACATTGCCCACCGCTCTAACCCTCGGCGCTGCCCCTGTTTGCCCCTTGAATGTAAAATGTGTCGGAAGGCGATGCTTGAGGAATGCTTGAGGAGACGAGTGTGCTCGAGGTGGTGAGGTTTGAAGTGAAGTGAGATTAAACGATAGCTAACTTGTCTGCTGCTGCGTCTAGTACAGATACTACAAGATGTAGGTCTACACACTCTGGGACACGCTCTCGGCGTACCCAGCTACCCAGCTCAACTATCTTCTCCGCGTTCCCAGCTGCCAAGGGTACCCAGCTTGCAGATCTTCACAGCGTACACGACGGCGTGAGCTTGCCCGTACATGTACATGCACATGTACTTCCGACATTCCTTCCATCACGGCGGCATGCCTTCACCTGCGGTGCCACGACCATGTGTGCTGTTCACTTGCATGTCCAGTTCATACAGCGCGTACAGCTCCGGCAGCCTCGGTGCGGCGAACGACTTAGTTAGCAAGTCGGCAGCCATTTCGCCAGTCGGAACATATGTCGGCGCGATGATGCCCTTGACAGCCAAGTCCTTTGTAAACTTGTACTTCACGTCGATGTGTTTTGCCTTACCAGCGCTTGTTTCGTTCTGCACCTGCTTAATAGCTGTTTGGCTGTCCATGTGCATCACCAAGGGCTCCGAGACAGGGATACCGAGCTCGCCGAAAAGTTCGCGAAGTCCCATGAGTTCTTGCGCAGCATGGGCCGCTGCGACGAGCGCCGCCTCCTTAGTAGAAAGGGCCACGGTAGTCTGCTTCTTGCAGAGCCAGCCGACCACAGCACCATTTACGCGCATTACCACGCCGCTAATGGACTTGCGATCAGTCTTGTCGCCAGCAAAGTCGGCATCGCTGTAGCTATCCACATACAGCACACCGCCCGCGTTGTTGGCCACACCACCCAGTCGCATCACAGCTCCCTTCGTGCCTTTCAGATATCGAACGAATCGCTTTGCCAGGCCTTGGTCGGTGCGTGTGTCTGCCGCGTAGCCTTGTGCACGGCGTACGCGATGTCTGGGCGCGTGCACCGCGCAAGCCAGAGGAGTGAACCCACTATTGACTAAAAAAAACATCTTGATAGATGCGCCACCAGCTGACGTCTCTTTCGGCAGTAAGATAGCTCCATCCGATATATCATTCTCGTTATCGGGGCCAATCGGCACCGTCACCGAATGTGTGTCTTGCAGTCCAAACATGTAAGCAGCTCGTCGTCCTGGTCCAGCGTGTACTCTCCTTCGAGTGTAAGCGTGACGCGCATACCCAGGAATTTGCTGACAATGCCCAGGTCCTTGATCTGCAGCGTGGAGAGCATGCTAAACAGCTCGTCCCCAAGTCCCTCGCTCGTTCCGGTGACAAGCAAGTCGTCGACGTACACTCCTACCACGGTCATATGTCCGACTTGAGGTATATGCACGTGTCCGCTGCGCATTGAATGAAGCCACTCTTGATGAGCTTGTTGTGCAACGTTTTGGCCCACCGGCGACTAGCCTGCTTCAGGCCGTACAGGCTACGGTGGAGCCGCAATACAATCTGGATTTATTCTCCACACCATGCTCACGCATCTTGGCCTCGTCCACAGTCATGCCTTGCGGGACACATAAGTGAATATCCAACTCTGGCTCAGTCTCCGCCTTTACGTACGCACTCGGCACGTCTCCGTGGCGGGCCGGAACTCTCCACAATAATGACAGCACTAAGATCACTTTGGTGATCGCTGTGTCCATGACCGCCGAGAACGTTACCGTGTAGCTGACGCCGTGTACTTGCTCGTTTCCACACAAAACCAACCACGCTTTGTAGCGCTCGGCGTTACCGTTTGCGTCGGTCTTGGACTTGGAGACCCACTTGGTGTGCAGCGCTCGGACGGCACCCGTGCGAGCCATTAGTTCCCAAGTCTTGTTGTCCTCAAGCGACGCGAGCTTGGACCCCGCTGCCTTGCACCACTTGTCGCTGTCGTCCGACTTTATGGCTTCTGACCAGTTTTGGGGTCCTTGCGATACACAGCACGAACGATCTCACGTGGAGGTGTCTTGGAGCCACCGTAGCGAGTCACTGTCCTGTGTGTGGCCTTCACCGGGTTCTCCACCGCAGAATTCTTCGTCGACTTCGGCTTGCCCTTGTTCCGACCCCCACGTCTACCCCGTGACTTCCGTGCTGGCCTGGCACTAGTGGCCGGTGATGTGATCTCCAGCTCCTTCCGATTGCACAATCCTCAGGCTGGCTTCCATCGGTTATGTCCGTGGACAACTCGTCGTTAGACGGCTCTCTCACCGGGTCCTTGTCATCGATCTCTTCCGTGCGCTCTGCGTTCAACTGGCATTGTAGTAGCGCATTTGATCCATCATTCAGCGTCTGTACATTCTTCACGTGTTGCGTGGTTCGCACCACGCGATCTTTAGTGAACAGTACGCTGTACCCCTTGGTATCGTCGTCCTTGCCCACTATCAGACCCTCCTCCGCGTGTTCCGCAAGTGCACCGTGTCTATTCTCCCGGATCACAGTGCACGGAGAGCCGAAGATAACGATGTCAATTACCTTGGGCTTCTGTCCGGTTAGCAGCTCTAGTGGAGACGCGCGGCCCTGATTGCTCCGCGTGGGACTGCGGTTCAAAATATACGCCGCGTACTCCACCGCATCCCCCCAGAAGCTCAACGGTAACTCGGATCCAGCAATCATGGAGCGCAACATGCCCATGATGGTCTGGTGCATGCGCTCTGCTTTACCATTCGAGGCTTGATTGGCGGCTACAGACATCTGCCGTCTCACTCCTGCGGCCTTGCAGAATGGGCCCACCACTTTGTATTCGCCGCCATTATCAGCTCGTAGGCAGTGCACACTGCAATCGAAGTATACAAGAAAGTGTTCAAACTGCTTCGTCGCGATAACCTTGGTCGTAGCAAGAAACATGCGGCAATAGTTAATCTAGTAATCGATAAAGTTGATCAAATACATGTTGCCCCTCCAGTCGCGCTGTGTGATCGGGCCCTTGATGTCGCTGCAGATCACGCCGCCAATGCGATCGATTGGCGCGTTGGCGCCGGTGCCCTTGCGCGACTGCTTGCTGCGACGCTTCTTGCCCTTGGCGCATGTCACACACATCGGTAGGTCTGTATCAGTTAGCCGGATCCCGCTGGCTGGGTCACTGGCAATTCTCTCGATGGTGTCGTAGGCCAGATGACCCAGTCGTAGGTGGAAATGGTAAAGACTTCCAACCTGTGTTCCCGATGCCGATTCGGCTGCTACTTTCGTGAGCGCTGCGAGCACGCGCGACTCCGCACCATCCAGTTCACTGGTTACTTTGTCGTTGCCGACCACGCGCACGACCAACACGTCATTGGTGTCTTTGTCAACGTTGAACAGCTTGACACTGTCGCTGCGCCTCACGAGCGCGCGAGCCCTTTCCTTGTAGCGCAGCTCGTAGCCGCACTCATCCAACTTTCCGCAGGAGATGATGTTCCACGGCGAAATCCTCCGCGAAATAAACTTCGCGCAGCTCTATCAGCCGCGCCTCGCCGTCCACGTTCACCGAGAGCTGTGCACTGCCCTTAAGCCGCAGGCGCAGATTCTCCCCATTGGTAAGGAGATAGTCCCCCTCGACAGCTACGGCGTTGATCAGCTGTTTCGGCGTACGCGCCAAGTGCCCGCTGGAACCACTGTCGACGATTCAATGATTTGGTCCCCCAGCTCCTTC